CTGGCATTATCAGGACCCACAAATATTCCCCCATTGAATTATACATTATAATCAACAGTATATATAGTAGTTTCATGTAGTACTGACACTAAACATTTTGTGAGAATTTTCTCTCACACAGTAATTTTTATTTTGGGGCACTATCCACGATACATATTGTTGTATTTTTGTATTGCGATATATTGTGGCACGATATATTGTTACGCCCCTAGTGCCGAAGTTACGACATCACTCTAGGCCAAAACGCGGAAGTGAGTTAGCATTTTAGCTCTCCCGGTTCTCTCGCTCTAAAGCCTATGGGATTTTTGAACGGGTTTTTGCTAAATCGCCTGAAACAAGGTCTGTGGAGAACAAAGCCTCATCTTCACGTTTTGATCTATAACATAGAACACACAGTTATAACCTGCTTGAGGTTTTTTTACATTTTATAGGCTTCAAAATGTATAAATTTTGGATTAACTTGTATTGATTATCTTGATAGACAAAACGTGTAAGGGTCACAACTCTTTGTTGACCACAGATCTTATTTTTTGCAATTTTCCAAAAGTCTATTGAGAAAATGTATTGCTTTTCGATCGAGGGAACCCATGCGTCGCTAGCTTCGGAGTCGTCCTACAAGGTGACGTCATCACTTCGGCACTCATTCTTTGTCCGTTCTCGTCGCTGTATAGTTTGGTTGTTTTCTCCTGCATACTCCTGGTTTTCTGTCCTCTAGTGTGTTTATTATATTGCTTGAGTTGTTAATAAATATGACTGTTGCGATTAGATCCGGTGTCAGCTCTTCCTTTGCTGCAGCCTGATTGTGACAGTTATGAGGTGACTCAAATATATTTCTTAAAGTGTCTGTTTGATGTTAGTGACCTTGCAAACTTGGGCAAATCCATTTTTTTCATCCTCAAAAGCATTCGTTGTATCGACCTGCTATCTCATTAACAGACTGTTGCATAAAATCATCCATTTAGATTGGCGATCAGCAGATCATATTTCCAGTTTAGTGTGTGTGTTATGGATCAGACAGTGAGTGGAGAATGGAAAATGGATCACAATTTTTTACTTTTTGATGCAAAAAAGACATTAGTGGACCTACGATGATTAAATAATGCACCATGTGACCGCTTTAAAATTCTTCAATACCCCCATCCACCGATTACTGTAAACTTCGAGCACAAACAGCACAACTAACTAAACAGATTCTCTTTACACTGCCGTCATCCGTCATCAAGATTCTCACCAGAGTGTCTCGGGGCATTTCGGCTTTCAGAAAGAATAAAAAAATGAATCACGTTTCACCATTATTTTCTGCTTCATAATACAAAGCTGGACATTTTCACATGTGACAGTTCTGTGCCATACAGGGGAGGCTCATTTAAAATACATGTATTCTGTTAAATAGTGTATTATCGTCTGCTCGAGATCACACATGCTGAAACAAGCTCGTCAATTAAACATGTGAATGCAGAGTGACTGAGCCAGTGAGTAGTGATGCCACGCTGTGAACATGCCACTATCTGAAAGCTTCAAACTGATGATAAGTGTGTTTTATAGGATAGTCAGATGGCCTCTAATGTGTCAGTTTAATGCTCAGAGTCGACCGCCTAGGAAGCATGTATTTATTTATACTGTACACGAGTAAGTATGTATCACTACGGCAGCATTAATTTGATAAAAACTACAGTAAAATCAGCAATATTGTGAAATATTATTACAATTTAAAATAGCTGTTTTCTATGGAAGCTTGTTTCTGCCACAGAATGAAAAATTAAAAAGGTAATTGTGACTTTTTATCTCACAATTCTGACTTTATTTCTCAAAATTGCGTGTTATAAAGTCAGAATTGTGAGATATAAACTATTCTGGGGGGAAAAAAGTTAATCTTTTTTTTCCCTAAGAATTGGCCTGATAACTCGCAATTGCGAGTTTATGTCTCACAATTCTGAGAAAAGGTGTCAGAATCTCGAGATATAAACTCGCAGTTATGAGTTATAAAGTCAGAATTGCGAGATGTAAATTCGCGAAATTAAATTATCTCGAAATTGCGACTTTATTTCTCAGAATTGCGACTTTATATCTCGAAATTGCGACTTTATTTCTCAGAATTGCGACTTTATATCTCGCAATTGCGGCTTTATTTCTCAGAATTGTGACTTTATATCTCGCAATTGCGACTTAATTTCTCAGAATTGCGACTTTATATCTCGTAATTGCGACTTTATTTCTCAGAATTGCGACTTTATATCTCGAAATTGCGACTTTATTTCTCAGAATTGCGACTTTATATCTCGAAATTGCGACTTTATTTCTCAGAATTGCGACTTTATATCTCGCAATTGCGGCTTTATTTCTCAGAATTGCGACTTTATATCTCGCAATTGCGGCTTTATTTCTCAGAATTGTGACTTTATATCTCGCAATTGCGACTTAATTTCTCAGAATTGCGACTTTATATCTCGCAATTGCGGCTTTATTTCTCAGAATTGTGACTTTATATCTCGCAATTGCGACTTTATTTCTCAGAATTGCGACTTTATATCTCGCAATTGCGGCTTTATTTCTCAGAATTGTGACTTTATATCTCGCAATTGCGACTTTATTTCTCAGAATTGCGACTTTATATCTCGAAATTGCGACTTTATTTCTCAGAATTGCGACTTTATATCTCGAAATTGCGACTTTATTTCTCAGAATTGCGACTTTATATCTCGCAATTGCGGCTTTATTTCTCAGAATTGTGACTTTATATCTCGCAATTGCGACTTTATTTCTCAGAATTGCGACTTTATATCTCGCAATTGCGGCTTTATTTCTCAGAATTGTGACTTTATATCTCGCAATTGCGACTTAATTTCTCAGAATTGCGACTTTATATCTCACAATTACGACTTTATTTCTCAGAATTGCGACTTTATATCTTGTAATTGCGACTTTATTTCTCAGAATTGCGACTTTATTTCTCAGAATTGCGACTTTATATCTCGCAATTGCGACTTTATTTCTCAGAATTGCAACTTTATATATTGCAATTGCGACTTTATTTCTCAGAATTGCGACTATTTCTCACAATTCTGACTTCATATCTCGCAATTGTGAAATAACGTCGCAATTATTTAAAAAAAAAAAAATATTCAATGGCGAAAACAAGCTTCCATAGTTTTCTATGTGAATATATTGAAAAATGTAATTTATTTAAGCTGAATTATCAGCATCTTTACTCCAGTCTTCAGTGTCACATGATCCTTCAGAAATCACTCTAATATGATGATTTCAAGAAACATTTGTGATTATTATCAATGTTGAAAACAGTTGCTGTTTGATATTTTTGTGCAAATTGTGATGCATTTTTTCCAGAATTGTTTGATTAATATATAGTTCATATGATTAACATTTCTGATTAATAGATAATACATGTACATCTCATAAACATTGGCAAATCTATCATCCTGGAAAGTAAGAGTGCTAATAAAAATACTAATAAAAGTAATTTATTTCGGTGCCGCTTGTTTACATTGACACGCAGAACTTCAATATTTATTTATAATATCTAGAATGCTGATATCAGCGTCTTTACTTTTGCTTTAATTTGTATAAATACCGCTGGCTTGCATGGGCTGCAGAAATACTAGAGCTACATAGAAATCCAGAGATAACAAGCATCATAAATATGCACATACGCACATGAATATGCATTGTTATGAATTCTTTGATGTTTTTTGCTGCGAGGTGTTATTTGATTTGGCTTATTCTTTTCATTCCTGAGTTCGAGTGAGGAGAAAAACCGTAGAGTAACCATGATAACAGAATTGTCACATCGTGTGTGAACGAGATCTGACTAAACTCACAGGAATAGTCCGTCCTATTTTCAAGTGCTCAAACATTTAAACAGCTGAATTGTTAAATCCACGGCATAATTACAGTATCTATTGCCTAAATCATGCCAGAACCTTTTTCAATGTGCATAAAACAACAGCCTACAGAAAATATTAGTGGTATTTGCTCATCCAAAACTTGATATCTGCGTCTGATCAGTTAGTAAAGTAACAGCACAACAACACACTTGATATAAGGAATGACTTAAACACCAGCTCTAATCATAAAACAAAGTAAATATCATCTTACTAAGACCTACCGTTGATAATTGACGACTTTATTTATATGCATTTTATAGTTTCTGTACTGTTATAAAGATCTCACTGATTAACCATATCAATAACTACATAAAATTGGCTTTTTTCCTCCTCAAATATCTATTCTAAAACCTGATGTGATTTTTAAAAAGCTCAATAAACTGTAATAGATAGATATGCCATGGCTTTGCAGGGTTAAACCCCATCAGTGTTGGACAGATGGAGATGGACGTGTCCCATATGAAGCCCCTCATGTCCTCTCAGCATCTCGTCACAATCTCAGCATCAGTTATTCCTGTTCATCATCAGCAAACGAACTCAATCTTACCACGACAAGATCATATGTCTATCTACATATCTATATCAGACGTTGTTTTGGCTTTAGAGCCTACCTAACCATTCATGATCTAATAACCAGAAGTAAACCTACCAGATGAATAGCAGTAATAACAGTCACCCAGCAGGTCAAACTGGTTCAGGATGTGATCATATGTCACATGCCTCCTCCTGGCAAACCACCACACATTATCCTCATACGTTAAACAGGTGAAACCACATGTAGGCATGACAGCCAAATATTTACCATAGTATTGAATGATTGCCACTGCCTCCTATTTGCATTGTATATGTACTGTTATGTTTACTACAAGTACATTGGCAACATACTGAATGACTTTCATGTACTATTGTATTTACAAGAACTTCAAAACATATAATAATGGTATCATCAAGATATAGGCTATGCCCAAACACATTAAGAGTTGTGTATAATGTTTGTTAATGTTATTTTTTACAAAGTTTTACTCTTTAAAATCCTCTATAATGAGTGAAAAAGAGGTTAACTTTGGTGTTTCGCTCTTCGATAAGTTAGTTTCTTACCGTGCGTGTTTCCCGTGCGGCGCGCGGTGTTGTTTCTGATGGCGCGCGCCCACCGTTCCGCCTCGCGCAGATTCACGTCTTCCTCCTCCTCCTCCTCATCGTTATTGTCCTCCGTATTGAGTACGGGCCGAAAGCGACGCTCGTCTCTCTGGCGAACCGGACTTGAAGACATCCACCGGCGCCGGTACGGGTAGAAATACGCGCACAGATACGCGCCCTGGTCCTCGCGCTCGCCCCGGTGCGCGCGGCTCCCCAGGCAGTCGCGCAGGTCCAGGTGCTCGGATGAGGATGATGTTGATGGTGGTGGTGGGGACGGGGGGTTGATCCTCTGGACCGTGAGGCAGCTGTCCGACAGACTCAGCGCGTACGTGAACCGCCCGGTGTCCGTGTCCGTGAACACCCCGTGCATGAGCGCATCCGCGGCTGGCCCGTTCTGATACTGACGCGACGCGTCCGGTTCATCCATCCCGCGACGGGACGGTGCTGCAGTGAGTGCCGTGGGACGCTGTTTAAACACGTGCGCGTGTGTGTGTGCGCGCGCGAGAGAGAGAGTTCACATATCTCTCCCTAGTGACAGAAAACCGGCATGACATTAAAATATCGGAGGCAAAGGGCGTGACCGTGACAGTCTGAAGAACACACACAGATCTGATGAACACACAAACACACACCCCGTCACCAAAAAAGTGCTGAGATTGTGACAGTGATTTCGATAGAAGTCTGTGGCCATAAAAAACGTATATTACCGTGGTAACATTCAAAAAATCACAATAGACCTAAAAACAATAAAAGATTAAAAAAAAACTTAAATATGAAATAGAAATAAAATGAAAACTTAACTCAATAAACTTATTTATTTTTATTTCGTTTATTTGAACTAAAAGTAGCCTAAAAAATTTCAACTAACAACAACAACAACAAAACGTGATTTTTAATAATTGATCTATAGGCTAATCAAAGTGTCCTATAACAGTACAGCAATGATAGCTAAAATAACACTCACGCATATATAGCTATAGGCCTATATATATATGTGTGTGTGTGTGTGTGTGTGTGTGTGTGTGTGTGTGTGTGTGTGTGTGTGTGTGTGTGTGTGTGTGTGTGTGTGTGTGTGTGTGTGTTTTAGTAAAAATGGCACCTATCCAAAGAGATATTTACAAAAAAAAAAAAAATGTTACATGCATAAACCACGTTATTACCACAGTAAGCAAAATATATGGGCCTATATAAAGTTAAAGAAACTTCCCATTAAACTCCATAGACTGCTCTGGCCTATAGTGAACTGTAGAGTTACGATATAGAAAGAGAGAAGAACAACTATGAACCTGATGATATTTATGTAAAATACTTGGTCCTCCTGAGAACAGTTAAACCTTCAGCTGAAATCTCGTAGTCCCTGAATGTCATGAGTGTTTGATGGAGATGTTCACCTGTTACCCCACAGATGTCATTAAATGAGGCGTTTGAAACCCAAACCACTGCTGGAGAAAACCATCATTAGTGTAATTGAACATCAGACTAAAACCTCTAAATAATAGAAGACAGTTTCCCCTGGTTGTCTCCGGACATTTTGAGCGAAACTATTCCTTCCTTATGCTTCAGTCTGGGATATTTGTCAGCATATTGCATTTATCATCATTACCGTAAAAACAATTGTTTAGAAAAGAAATCTGTGCATCAAAACAAGGTGTAACCTTTAGTGTCAATTCAATCAAATTGACCTAGACGTTGTGTTAATTAGATTTATTACAAATGATGTAGGCTTTTAATATATATATATATATATATATGCATATACCTTGTAACCAATCAGGTGGTGTTTCTGACGTCACAAACTACCTTGTAACCAATCAGATTGAGTTACATTCAAGCTATTTTAAGGCATGAAGAATTTTTTTTTCAAGGGAAAAACGTTTAAATGTGTCATTTTGGTGATCAAAGATGAGTTTTAAGGGATACAATTATTGACTACAATAAATAATCACTGTTTTTTTTATCAGTTTGTGTGAAGCTGCATTTTTAGTGGTGAATCAATTCTAAAACATTATAAAACACATTTTTAGAATTTTAAATTTAAATGATACAATCATAATTAAATTGCAGTAATATTTATGATTGTTAAAATGTCCATTAATTGCGTTGATTGACCTTTATTTTGTAAAATGCTTTTCTTTCCCAGCGGGCATTGTGGTTTTCACATTTCAAAGATTAAATGCTTTAATAATGCCTTCTTAGGGAAATTAAATGGGAAAAATTAATGACGCTGTACGGGATTGTTCGATTTTTACACACTTTTTGTTATTCTAGACCCCTAGTCTGCACCTTTTAACCTTCCAAAACTCAAGGCGAAGCCTGGTTATGCTAGTGATGGGGAGTCGACTCTCAAATAGCCTGTCGGAATTGGTCGGAATCTGTCGGAATCGACTCCAGGACAGGAATCGAAAGTATGGATTCTGTATTTTTATTTTATTTATTTATTTATTTATTTATCTATTTATTTAAGACGTGAGGTGTGTTCGTGTTATTTTTTTTTCCAGTCTATGCATGGTTCTTGGTTCGACATCGGCCGGATCAGATGTAAATTGTAACCGATCAGAGAGAATTTTTCAGGAGAGAGAGGCTGAAAACCCGGAGAAATGAAGTCAGACACTTTCCCGCTTCAGCTGTGTTTGCATACTATCACAGCTGAAGTGAAATAAATGCAATATCTGTCAAATACACAGAATTCAGACACTTTTCTATTGAATACTTAGCCTAGGCCGACTACAGTGTTTGTTTGCACAAGTGTAAAGTTCAACATCTCAATGAAGTGGCTGTCTACGTTTTTTTTAATCAGTTTTATTTTGATTTGCGAGTATACACAAAAAGAGAGTTTGTTATAGAAAAAGGTGGATTTGTTGATCAGAATGTCCCGGTACTGGAGAGGGGAAGTTTTTTTTATTATTATTCCTGACCCTATTTTGATTCAAAGTAAATGGAGTAGACTCTGGGAATACTGGGAATGAATCGTGAACAGGAGTCGACTCCAAAAAATCCGGTCTCGAACACCCCTGGGTAACGCCCCGTGTCACGTGGGCCGTGACGTGTCCGCTGTATAAATTCGCTCGCTCCCCCTTTCTCGTTCTCTTTCTCCGTGCACCTCGAGAATAGCAAGCTTCTCTCCGACACAAAGAAGAGTTGATCGACCTTAAAACGTGTTCATAATGAACCACACGCGAAGAAGATGCAAGCACAGGGCTTCCAGACCACCTTGATTAATGTAAGTCTTAAAAGCGGAGTTTTATTAATAGCACGAGGTTTACTCGTGCACGTGTAGTAATGGCGGCACGGTTTGTCTTTCTGCAGGCCGGGTCTAATGCGACTACACAATGATTGTCTGGTGGCTGTTTTACTGTGATAACCGCACGCAGTTCCTGAATTGGTGGGTGTTATTTAATATATATATGTTTATATTGTTTACAAAAAAATGGATAAGCCTATATAATCTGTAATTTGGTTAAAGTAGATCGTGTTCTGTGATGAGACAGGAAGTGCCGTCTGATGCGATAACTGACGATGGCAAACCAGAATGATTCTGAGACACAATGTGCAGATATGAAGTCATTACTGTTGAACCGTTGAATCTGATCACATGATCTCTCTCTCTCCTCAGGTGAGCGTCTGGATCTGACTCCGTGCTGAGCAGGTAAACATCTCTCCTCAATCTCTCTGTTCACACACATGTGTTTGGCTTGATCTTCCCGAGATGAAAACGCTGTATTGAAAGCTGGGTCGTGGCTTGTGGTATTTTGGGGCCCACCCACCCCTGTCCCCCCATGTGCCCGAGTCCCGGCCCGGCTGGAGATGCCCTCTGAACTCCCCAAAACTGATGGCCAAATATTCTGAGGAAACCAGAGCCAGTGTGAATCTGCAGCGGTGATCTCGTGTGAAACTCGTCTCACTCCTGTTTTCTCTTCACAGACGCAGCAGAAACGCTTCTCTTGAGCAGAAACGCCATGAGCTCCTGATTCTCAGCGGTACGTATCAATCACAGTGCCTTTTTAGTTTTAAGAGATTTTAAGACGTGTAGTTCAAAGCTTTTCTCGGGTCAGAATAGTTCTGATGGTTTTTGGCATTGTAAAGGAACAGATCTGATCCAAGATCAGTGTTTAGAGATTCAAGCCTGTGATGAAACAAGTTATCCCTGTCTGAAAAAACATGTTGAGTTATGGTAACCTGAGGCTTAATATATAAAGAGATTAAACATAAATATGTATATATTTGTGTAATTAATGGACTTTTCTTCTACTTTCTGCAGAAATGCCCCACAGTGTCCGTGTTGGAGTGACATCAGACCATGAGAATAACTTGAAACCTGCTTTATTTGAGAATAAACGTTGTAGAAAGATATGAATGCCTCCTGTCATGTGTTGAATGATGATCTCTTCAGTGTCCAGGAAGTCTCTGTCCTGTTAAAGAAGTAGGGTGACTAAACTCCCCAAGTTTAAATAAAATATTGTCCTGTTTTAGTGACTTGCAGTTACTCATGTAAAGATGCCTTTAAGATTTTTAGCACCGATGGTGAGGACCCGATTGTTCTGTCTGTTTTCCTCCCAAATGAATCTCTTTCGAGGGCCTAAATATGATCAAACTCTTGAAAACTTCCACATGCTTCAGGAGTGGTGAATGTACTTTTTCATATTTAATGTGATATTGGTTTCAGAATTAGGTGAGACTAAATGGCTTGATAGCGCCACCTACACTATTGCCCTGGCTCTACACTTCACGTACAGGTATGAAATTTGGTGCATGCAATCATAGATGTCTAAATAAAGGCTAGATGTCTTAAGGTGGAGTTTCTATCATCACTTGTGGCCATCTTGTCGCAGGCAAGCTGATGCAAGATAAGGGATCAGCACAAATACAAATACTCTTATCTCGTTGAAATCTTGCCGGATTTACAAACGGTTTGGTTTCTTACAAACGTTATTAACGTGGCTATAATTATCTAGCTGGTTATTTATTCACTTATTATTTAAAGTATGCTGTCTCATAACTACATCTCTGACCTAGTGACGTTAATAACAAACCAAACCGGTTGAAAATCGGTAGAAAATTGAGCAAGTTACGGTTATTTAAATAGTACATGTACCATTAACACAATGTTACCAGTGAGCTAGCTGCCTGTGGCAAGATGGCCGCCAGGTGCAGATGTCAATCTCCATTGGCCAGCAGCGTGGACGAGATATCTAGCCTTTATATAGACATCTATGCATGCAATGACCTAACTACAAAAGCCTGTGCAGTTTTTGAAATTTATTATGTTCTTTAACCAACTCTTCCTAGAGACTTAATCAGATTCACACCATATTTTGTCTAATATAAAGGCCTTTGTTCAACTTCACATGTTGATAAGAGTCCAGTCCTGAACGCATCTACATGCCAATATTCAGTTACTGTCATAGTGCCATCTTCTGGCAACAGGGAGTTACATTTTACACTAATTTACTCCCATTAACATTTAAATATGCCATGAAGTACCAAACTTATTAGAAATGTTAAATCATGCATCTCTTAGCTAAGTGCTATTGTATGTAATCAACGCCACAAAACAGAAATATGTTGCAACTCAGATATATGATGTCCGATTTGCCCCAAATTTCACATGTTTGATAAGTCTGGCCCTGAACGCATCTACCGGTAGGTTACATGACTATATTCAGTTTTGGTAATGGTGCAGCTTTTGAAATTTCCAGATGTACTATAACCAACTCTTCCTAGTTTTAATCAGATTGACACCATATTTTGTCAGTCTAATCTAAAGGCCTTCCTAAAGCGGGAAGTGTGGTAAATACAAAATGCTTTTACATTCTCCTATGTTTACCTACCCACATGCAGACTGCCCATCGTGCTCTGTCTTCCTGAAGACACCGGGTGGCGGTGGCATGGTTGGCCTTTTCATCGCTGCTTGCAGCTTTAATTTTTATGTTTGATTTTTGGTTTAATATATCAGTCGACACAGCTCGAGTTCACTTCAAATGGAACTTTTTATTATATCATATTATTCAGATGTAATGTAAGTTCTGTTTGATTTATCTATCAGCCTGGTTCCACATGTCACAGCTGGCCCATGGAAGTTGGGATCTGAAAGAGAAGATGAGGTATAAATGATGCACATGCAGCTGTACACCTGAATGAGCTGTGCTGCGTAGCCAATGCCTGACATAAAAGTAAAATCATATGTTAAAGTAGTAAGAACTCTTTAGGAAGCAGTTTTGCTACTATGACTCTCACCCTAATGCAGTGTGTGCTGTCCCATTGCTGTGTGTAGCAGGAAGAGAGGAAGCCCACAAGTAGCCACAAACACCAGGTAGGGTATCAGGAACGCACCTGACAACACACCAGTACAATACAACATTATTAGATACCACAAATAGAAAGCTAAGACAGTGTGCTGTTAAATACATTAAAAATAATTTTATAAAATACACTATTGCTGCGTCATACCTCCTCCGTACTTGTGGCAGAGGTAAGGAAACCTCCACACATTCCCCAGTCCGACCACATGTCCAGCCACAGCTAAAATAAACTCTGCTTTACTCCCCTAGTGGCCCCTCTCTACTATTTGTTCTTAAAATGTCCTAATAAAGTTTTCACCAGTTCATAATAATAATAAAAAATAAATAAATAATGGTGGGAGAGTCGGGCAGGATTCAGGTACAATAATATGTATTGTAAAGAAATTCACTTCAAAAATATTTTAAACCCACAGCTGCTGTTGCTGAGTTATAACAGTTACAAGTTTTTTTTTTAGGAGTTGCAGTTGAAAATTTAGTTTTTTTAAGTTAAGTTTTTCAAGGATGAAGGGAAATCACAATGTATATTTATTCCTCTAACTTTGACCGAAGTGTAGCTTGAACTTTTAACTTCTGAAAGACAGCTTTGTAACGTCACTGACTCCGCCCACACGCACAGATCTCTTCCTCTGATCAAGAAGGCAACGGGGAATTCAGCCATAGGTGACCACCAGACGTCCCGAAATCTAAGCTGTTGTCCCGAATCCCGAAACCGGACTTAATTGTCCCGAAAAATATACTAAACCAAAATCTTGATATAAAACATTGAAAACTGTCCGTGGAAGTTGAGTCGTCCTGCAGCCCCCCCAAGTTGCAGTAGCCGCGAGGACACTGAATGTGCAGCCAGTCTAAAGTTTTGTTTTCTTACGCGCTTCAATTTCTGGCGAATGGATTCAACGTGTTCACGGGGCGAATTTGACGCACTATTTGACGCACAAAAGTGATTTATTGGTAGCGTCACTGTGTGCAAAAAAAAAAAAAAAAAACTTCGGCCGGGCCTTAATGTCTGATGTCGGCTTATAATTGAAGCAGATCATCTACACAAATATTTAGTTTTCCTATTTAATGATAGTTGTATTAATAATTTTGGTATAGCCTGAAAGGTCTAGCCTGTGCACTGTTACTACAGAAATGCATGTTTTTTTTTTCACTATGACATTTGAGTTCATGATTTTAATGTTTTTTGTTTTTTTTTAACCAAAACATATTTTGAACCAAAACCTGACATATTGAACTAAAACCTGACATAGTATAGCCCCCGTCGTCATCTCAATCTCAGGACTGTGATGAATCTCTTACAGGATGATGATCAGACAGACGTGAGCAACCAGAAGACGATCGACTGAAGAATAAAGAAAGATTCAGAGGAGAAAACAGAATATCAACATGTCGACCGCTGGTGAGAATCAGAGAACGTTTCAAATAATTAATCAAGAATATTTTCACACAATTACTGTGAATGAGTCAAATATAATGCAAGACTCATGTTTCAATACAGTGATTGTTGCTCACAATCCTCGCAGGAGACAGAGCATAGACCAACCTCCTTTCAGTAAGTCTTTATCTACATAAATGCATGAAGAGTGTTTCGAAATTACAGGCAATTTATCCCCATCAAAACACAAGTAATTCACCCCTTACCAAACCACACCCAACATTTAGGCAAGTGGGGCATCAATGACATACACAAAATAAAATGGTTGCTGCTAATAAATCATTCTGAAAAGACACATAATACACATGTGTTTAGAAAAAAAAAAACATTCTTGGGACCTTATGTGAATTATTTTAACAAATTAAATTATGGATGTTATGTGTGTTAAAAGTAACACTGAAGCAGTGTTAGAGTTTAAGTTAATTAAGTCATTAATTGAGTGATGATTGAGCATTGAAGACGCCTAGTGATAAAAAGCAGAATCACTGATGAAAAGAGAAGCTCTACAACTGACTTCCGGAGATGAAATCAACTGAAGATAAAAGACAACATTAAATCTCTGAGATCTCAGCAGAGGAGGATTAAACAACTCCACAAACAGCATTGCCAGCTTCACTTATTACTAACTAGTTATTGATAATTAATAGAGGTGTAGATGCTGATGTTTTATTGGAAATAATAAATTTTGTAATGCCACGATTATGGTGATCAGTGTTTCATGTAGTTGGGCAGTTTGACCAAAGTCAAAGTCAGACCAGTGTTTACTAAAACACATATTTTGTTACAAAAGAAGCCATAAACAAGGATGATCATCATCTAAGTCTGTGTCTGGAAGTTAGTTGTAGTTTTGTTTATCTTTTTCTTCAGTGATTCTGTTTATCACCAGGTGTCTTCAATAATCAGTCATCACTGAATTAATTACTTAATTATCTCATTAACTCTAAAACTGCATCTGTGTTATTTTTTTTAACTTCCTGTTGGTGATTCCCATATAAATACAGAGCGATGTTACATTTAACACTGGGGAATTTACTGTGTGGCGAATCAGAGGTATAATTAGCGTCAAGCTACATTACAAGATTACACTTTAACTCACTTTAACCCTCAGGTGCTCTTCGTTTCGGAGTCATACTTGTTATCTTCCCGGTCAAAAGTGACCGGACACCTAAAAATGAAACTTTCTCCATCCCAGTAAAACCAATGCAATTTATTTTTGTTCTATAATATTTATTCTTTTTAATTTAGTATTTTGAGACAATTTAAATGAATTTATTAATATTTATGCAATATTTATGGTTTATTTTTGCCATAGAAAAATATATATTATTTTCTATATATATATTATTTTCTTCAAAAAAATATTAATGCCGTATTTTAGTTTATTATAGAGTCTAGGCCTTCAGAAAAAAAAAAATATTTTTTGAAGAAAATTAGCACCATCTGGTTACAGTATAGAGAAAAAGCGTAGAATCATGGTGTAACCACTTGATGGCATGTACAGCTCTCTATGGAGAGGCATGTGAATTCCCCAGCTGTTTATGAACACTTTTTTGTTGTTGTTGGTGGTGGATTTGTATATATATTTGAAACAATCTCAAAACTATTTCTTATTAAAAAAAATGACAAAAAACAAATATTCACAATTTTTTTTCTTTTTTTTTTTTTTTACAATTTCCCATTCATTTCCTATGGGGTCATTTTTGACCAAAGACCACAAGTGTGACTATTTTTTTTAAGACCACTTAGCCTGCTCAGATCATGACCTTAATTTTTTTGTGTGTTCATATACATAATGCCATAAAACTCACAAAGTTTCGTAACATTCCGATGAAGCTGTGATTTTTAAAAATTCAAACATACTTTTTGTAATCAAACTTTATTGGTGTGTATGTGTATAAAAGTGTGTTTGTATGTGTGTGTGTGTTGGTGGGTGTGTCTGTTTTGCACTCTAGATGTTGTAGAGTGTCGCCCCTTTTCTTGTGGTGTACCTTTTTTTTTTTAGAATTGTGGCCGATTTGTAGATTGTACATACAAAAATTCAGAGAATATTATTTTTTTGTATCAATTTCCCATTCATTTCCTATGGGTCATCATTTTTGACAGAAGAGCAAAAGTGTGACTCATTTTTTTACGACCACTTAAATTGCTCGAATCATGACCTCAATTTTTTTGTGTGTTCACATACCCAATGCCATAAAAGTCACCAAGTTTCGTAATTTTCTGAAGAAGCTGTGATTTTTAAACATTCAAAACAGATTTCTTTAATCACAATTTATTGGTGTTTTTGTGTATAAAAGTGTGTGTGTATGTGTGTGCGTAGGGGTGGGTATGTCTGTTTTTTACTCTTGATGTTTTACAGTGTCACCCCTTCAATGCTGAGCACTTTTTTTCTGCATTGTGGCCGATTTGTAGATTGTTCACACAAAAATTCTCAAAGTTTTTGTGTTTTTGTCAATTTCCCATTCATTTCCTATGGTCGGTCATTTTTGACCGAAGAGCACAAGTGTGACTATTTTTTTTACGACCACTTAGCCTGCTCGGATCATGACCTCAATTTTTTTGTGTGTTCACATACCCAATGCCATAAAAGTAACCAAGTTTCGTAACATTCCGATTGAAGCTGTGATTTTTAAAAATTCAAAACAGAACATTTTTCGGTCAGAAATGACCGAAGAGCACCTGAGGGTTAAACAAGTGTTTGTATTAACTTCAGATTGCTAATATGGATTTCAGTCATATAATTGTGTTGAAATATGTTATATTTCGCCCTTTATATGGAGCTAATTTTTACACCTACTTTGCATGTATAATGTAAACCTTCGTTATTCCAACATGGCATCATGACTTTTGCGTAAACATATCTATTATCTATGTTATCTATACGCATTTTCAGCTATCCGCGTGTATGTCTACGCCGTTAAATGTCCGAGTGATTCCGCGTGTCTGTACATGCCGTTAAATGTCCGAGCGAAACTAAGCAAAATGTAGATCTACATCTGGGGAGCGATCTTTTTTTTCCCTAGGATGGTACGGGAACACTCATAAATGCTTATTAACTCCAGTGACGGGTAGATTTAGGGACGGGGTTGAGGTAAGTCATATATTTATATATACAGTAATAACGTTAAGTCAACGGCGTTCATAAACACACTGAAAAGCGATTATGCGTGTTGATAGCACGCCAAAAATGGAAATACGAATTGGCGTTTCATACGCCATTTCATGAGATCAGTCTGGTGTTGTGGCAAAAATACTGTCAAACATCATCACTGCGTAAGAGACACTCAGAGTCAAATTAATAAAGAAAGAGAAGTTTTTATTCTTGCAAGAATAGGCCCAGTCGCCAGCACAGCAGTTACACTGTGGAGTGAGTGAGACGCCTTCAGGCGGACATGAGACAGCTCTTATAGACCATTTCACAAGATGTAAACAACACTGGTCCAGAAGCACTTCCTGTTTCAGTTTGTAACTGTTTTCTTTATTTCACATGTAAAGAAAACATCTTAAAGATGTTTGTTTAACTTTTTGATTCAGTTTTAAATGTTCTGTTGGTTGTATTTTATCCCAGCTTTTGTGTAGTGTTAAAAAACTGAAACAGGAAGTGCTTCTGGACCAGTGTTGTTTACATCTTGTGAAATGGTCTATAGTCTTTTCAAGGTTCCTCTTCCCCCATTGTACTTTTCACCCACCCAGATAAGGCCATACCTGTCAAGTATCCCGTTTTGGCCGGGAAAGTCCCGTATTTTACCGTTCTTTCCCGCTGTCCTCCCGTATTAGTATTTTCCCGTAAATCTCCCGTATTTTAACCTGCGTTATTAAAATATAATAATACCCCCGAGCGGATTAAATAAAACATTCCCAATCTGAGCTCTGTCACTTGCCTCACGATAACTACAAGTACTGTAGGTGAGGTGATCGACAGTTGTCGCGAGGTCAGATGATGAGTGACAACTCTATGGTGACAACGCGGGGGAAACAAAGAGGACACGCGTTTTGTAACTGCGACTTTTGCATCTCACACGGGGGAAGGAATGATGTGTTAGCACGAGAAATGGTGTTTAGCATGGTACGAGAGATTGAACACATAGAGATAGACAACAGAACTGCTCTACTCTCATGTAAAAATGAACCACCGTGGCCCAGCCCACAAATACACTCCTTCCAAAACAATCTTAAAGAATGCAAAGTCTGCAACATATTTGTACAATAACTCACTAAGAGAGTAAAGAAAAGTTATGTGAAATGAAAAGAAAAACTTTAAAAGAAAAGCAATATGAAATGAAAAGAATGTGTGGAATGAAAATAAAATGTAAATGTAAAGACAAGCAAAAATGAAAAGAAAATAAGCAAATAAGCCTTTAAATAAATGTTCTTTATATAAAGGCTACCCTAATGTAAGGGATACTGGGTTGGTGGGAGTGGGACTGTTTGCGGTGGGCGCCGGAAAATGTCCCTTATTTTCAAATCCAAAACTTGACAGGTATGGATAAGGCCCTTACAGCTGTTTAGTCTCTACTTAAGGACACAAACTGGTAATAAAATAAAATGGCCAAAACTGGCCGTCCCTAAGGTCAGAGGTCCTGTCCCATATGTTCCTGAAACGTCACCCACAACCACGTAGACATTTATATTTTACTCATGGAATAGGTTCAATGGGGAAACATGGCTCAGACTACCTAGTAATCTTCACTAATGATTAAAATTCCATAACACTGGTTCTCCCATGGTTGCGGCTCGCAATGTGTATGAATGAGCCGAGATGAGCACGTTACAAGCACCTCCAGACCACCCGATAATTTTTAAACATGTTTAAAAAATTTAGTGGAATTGGCCCGATTTTCACTAGCATATGTCCCATATTGCCAAATCATACATAATCACGTCACAGGCTAGAACGATGAGGATATATCTCAGTTGCTGCAGCCTGCAACCGTAAAGTGTGCACATACACTGCAACCGTAAAGTGTACACACACACACACACACACACACACACTTTTCTCTCTCTCTCTCTCTCTCTCTCGCAAATTTTTTATGTTGAAAGGAATGGCTACTATTCTCTGCTTTTTAACACATCATTTGCACACACATTTCTGTAATTTTAATATCTGAACCTATATCTATAGTCACCTGCAACATTGAAAGCTCCGCTGCTCTGGTCTCTGTGTTTAGGGCAAAAGCTCACGTGATTGCCGCCGGCTTGGGATAAATTCGTGTAGGACAGTTGTGCCGTGTGCCAGCGGCTTTGACGCCATTATCAGGTTAACTGACTCGTAACGTGTGAAATATCTCACGACCTCCCGAGTCTCCAAACTCGCACCGTGTATGCCCGCCATTAGCTTCAAAGATCGCCATTAGCTTCAACGATGGCTACAGATTATTGTTGTTCCAACAGTTATGGGCTAGCAACTTCTTTGCTAAACTTCAAAAACACCTCCTACTGGTAGATTCTGGTTAATTTGATCTGTGATATTGATCTTGCCATCATAACCTGTTAATATCGCATGTGCTCGGTGTTATTTTGTGATATGAGGATTGGAATAATAAATGTCTCATTTTACCCTTTGCAGTGAGGATTGTTCTGCTGGGGAAGAGTGTGTCAGAAAACAGTCGAGTGGGAAACTTCATATTAGGACGAGCAGCGTTTGACAGTGAAGCTCCTCCAGATGTTGTAGAGAGAGTCGGAGGAAGATTGAAGGACAGACACGTGATCCTCATCAACAGTCCTCAGCTGCTCGAAACACACCTGTCACTTCATCAGATCACGAAGACCGTGAGAGAGTGTGTGTATCTGTCAGATCCAGGACCTCATGTGATCGTTCTGCTCCTCAAACATGAACAGTGTTCAGCAGAAGATCAAGAGTGTGTGGAGAAGGTGCTGGACTCTTTCTCTGAGCGGGTTTATCAACACACCATGGTGCTCACGACACAAGAGCCGACTGAAACCGACGACATCCTACAGAAAATCATTCAGAAATGCTGCAACAGACGCTTCAGTCTTCAGGGAAACAGCTCTCCTGATGATCTTCTACAGACGTTTGAGGACATTAAGCAAATGAATGATGGACGGCATCTGGATTGTGCTGAAGCTTCACAGTGTTTCATAACGAAGCAACAGGACACAGAAATACGTGAGTGTGATGATAAATTATGTTTCTAGTGGTAAATGAACAGTTTTTAAATGTTCTTCTATCAGTTTCAGAAGGGGAGAAGCTGAATCTGGTTGTGTGTGGGAGCGACGGCACATTAAAGTCCTCCATATCAGAGCAGATCCTGCAGCAGACAGACAAAAGATCAGACGTTGATCTTCATGGTCGTGTGATCCGTCTAGTGGAGCTTCCAGCTCTGTTCAACACTCGACTCTCAGAGCAGGAAGTGATGCGTCAGACTCTCCGCTGTGTGTCTCTCTGTGATCCTGGAGTTCATGTTTTCCTCCTCATTATTCCTGACACTCCACTCAATAATGAAGACAAAGCAGAAATAGAGGAGATCCAGAGGATCTTCGGCTCCAGAATCAACAAACACATCATGATCCTCATAATGCAGAATTCAGAGCATCAGACAGCAGAACTCAATGAGGAAACACTGTCTGCCATTGAGAGGTTTGGAGGACGACACCATTTCTTTGGTCCCACCACACAAGTGTCCACATTGATGGAGAACATTGAGAAGATGCTGGAAGAAAACAGAGGAGAGTTTTTCTCTATAGAGACATTTCTGGAGGCACAGATGAAAAAACTGATGAAATATGAAGAGATGAAAAAGAAAAGTCATTCACTAGAGACACATTTATTCTCACAAGGTAATGGCCACCAGGAAATCAGTCTAATACACTATTAAGTGTTACCAAACTGTCTTTCTGAGCATATTTTGATAATGTCCTTTTTCTTCAATATACTTGAAGTCATTTGTCAAGAACCAATTATCACTAACAATAACATTTCTCAAATCGATAGCATATACTCAATACAGTACAATATAACAAACAAACCTCTTAATACCAGACAATATGAAAGTGTATACAGGCTAAACAAGCAGTCTTTATAAAAATACAGGTTTATATAGATATAAAAAACATCACTACATCTTACATCAATCAAACTATAAACACTGTAGACTTTAAAACTGATTTATTTCCTCTTTTGCATGTTTTACAGACAGTGAAGATGAACTGAGGATTGTGCTGCTAGGAAAAACTGGAGTTGGGAAAAGCGCCACAGGAAACACCATCTTAGGAAGAAATGCTTTTAAAGCCGAGGAATCTTTTGAATCAGTGACCAGTGAGAGTCAGAGAGAAACATCTGACATCAACGGTCGACGTGTCACTGTGATCGACACTCCAGGACTGTTTGATACTGAACTCACTAATGAAGAGATCCAGAGAGAAATCAGACACTGCATCTCCATGATCCTGCCTGGACCGCATGTGTTTCTCTTACTGATTCCACTGGGACGATTCACTAAAGAAGAACAAGAATCAGTGAAGATCATCCAAGAGACGTTTGGTGAGAAGTCTTTAATGTTCACCATAGTGCTCTTCACCAGAGGAGATGATCTGAAGAACAAAACCATTGATCAGTGTTTGGGAAAACCTGGATCTGTGATCAGAAACCTGATTGAAGTGTGTGGAAACAGATATCATGTGTTCAATAATAATCAGACTGAAGACCGAACACAGGTGACTGATCTACTGGAGAAGATAGACAACATGGTGAACGCAAACGGAGGGAGTTTCTACTCGTGTAAGATGTTCAGACAGATGGAGAGAGAACAACAAGAACAACAGATGAAGATCCTGATGGACAGAGTGGAGCAACTGAACAGAGAAAGAGAAGAACTGATGAAGAAACAAGAGGAAGAGAAAGAGAGAATGAAGATCACGATGGAGGAAGAACAACAGAATCATGAGAAAGAGAGAAAGAGAAGAGAAGAGGAACTCAAAAGAGAAATAAGAGAACAAGAGAAACTTCAGAGAGAGATACGAGACGAGATGAGACGAGAACAAGAGACATTTAAACATGAAATAGAGGAAATGAAGGAAGAAAAAGAGAAACTTCAGATCAAATACAACACAGAAATAGACAGAATGGAGAATCAGATGAAGAAAAGACTAGACGAATATACAGAAAGAGAAGAACAATATAAAACACAAATAAAAGAGAAAGAGAGAGAGATCAGAGAGGAGATGAAGAGAGAGCGAGAGGAATGGGAGAAACAGAAACTAGAGGAAAAGATGAGAAGAGAAGAAGAGGATGAGAAAAGAAGAGAGAAAGAACTGAGAGTTTGGGATGAATTTAATGATCGACTGAAACGAGAGAGAGAGAGAATGGAAAGAGAGAAAGTAGATCTTCAATCTAAACATGAAGAAGAAGAAAACAAGATGAAGATCCTGATGGAGAAAATGACCAGCGAAAGAGAAGAACTGATGAAGAAACATGAAGAAGAGAAAGAGAGAATAAAGATGAAGATGGAGGAAGAACGACAGAATTATGACGAAGAGAGAAAGAGAAGAGAAGAGGAAGATAAAAAGATGAGGGAGAGAGAAAAACAGATTTCTGATGAACAGATTCAGAGACTCAAGAGTGAAATGGAGGGAATAGTCAGAGAGAAAGAAAGAATAGAAAGAGAGAGACGAGAACAGCTAGAGGATTTAGAGAAGAGTCTGAAAGAAGAAAGAAACATGAGAGAAGATCAACAAAAGTCTTTTAAAGAGAAACTGAAACTCCATGAAGAACAGCATGAAGATGAACTGAAGAGAAGACGAGAGGAGTGGAGAGAGGAATATGAGAGAGAGAAAGAGATGAAGATCTGCACTGAAACTGATGATTCACTACAGGTGAGAGTTCAGAGAAACCTGGAGAAAACTAGTTCATCCATTATAACACTATTATATTTACTATCCATCCATTATTACATTTCATTCTGCCTTTATATTAATAGTTATCTGAATAAATGTTTATATATATATATATTAAACAGCTAGAAAATCCTGAATAAAACAAATATATTATTGTTTTTATTAATGATAATATATCATTTTTTAGTTTTAGTTTACTGTATCATTGTGTTTTAAACAGGGAGACACAGCACATCTATTTCGCAGACTTCATCTTCACAGGAACAATAACCTGAGAGTTGCAGATGTTCTTCAGATAACTGAACATTCATTACAGTCCCAAGAGTCTTGTGCTGAAGAGGAACTGAGTCAGACGTTCATTCAAAAACTACTGATGATGAACTACAGAGCAAGATACATCAGTGTTAAAGAGAACAATGAACAGGATCAAACACAACAAAGAGACACTGACTCATCTGAAGACATTGGTGATATATTCCAAGCAGTGTCAGTGTCTAACAAAGGAACAAATCAATCTGATTGCATTCACCCGATGGATGTTCAAATGGCCGTGTTTCATTGTGCTGATGGTTTCCTGAATCAGTTGATGGTCACTAAACTGTCCCAGTGTCAGTACGCTCTGCCTCTGCTTGTTCCTGATCCAGACACACAACAGATTGAGTTTCCTCTCTGGACATTCAGACAAATCAACAAGAGCTGGAAGAGGAGAACCACCAACAATGAAATCATCAGTCAAATCCAGCCAATCTACAAGGCAGAAACTCCAATGGTCTGTTTCTTCAGGTTTGGCTCTGTGTCTTCATCCAAGTCTCAGCTGATGAACAGTCTGATCAATGAGAAACACAACACGTTCTTCCACAGGAACTGTCCAGGCAGCAGCAGAACCAGAGTCCTGATGGATGGGAG